AGACGAGAGCGCGAGCGCACCGAGGAGGAGCCGAGAGAAAGAAGAGAGACGAGAGAATGGTCCTGGGGCGAGTGGCCCATCATTTTACATGGTGTCTACTGGCCTCATTGAGCCTAGAGTTTCTTTATTATTCATGTGACATGTTAGGGTAGCCACCTAACTTTTGTGTGTCGAAATTCCCAGATGTCATGCCGAAAATTCACCCAAGGCAGAATTTGTTAGTTATGACACTAAATTCGAAAGAGAAACATTATTTCTGCAGTATGAACTACTTTTTCATGCCCTATGGGGTATCAACTGTAATTTTAGGTGATGCGCTTCATATACAAACTGTGCTTGAAATGACATTCTTAGTAGTGTGAATAGCTTATATATTTATTTAAAATGGCCCCAACAGCCAGAGCAAATATATATTCATTAGTGACTGCCATTCGGCTGCTGAAAATAAATAGGATTAAGGAATACATCCTTGTCAATTATTCTGTTACAGGTGAATGTTTTACTAATGGTCATTTGCAGTTTACTCACAGCATATTATTTTATCCCTGGTGTTTGAATCTCTTATTGGGCCAATGCCCGCAGAAATACGGTCGCACCCACTTGAGAGGCAAGTTATCGCATCAATAGGAGCAGCTGATCGTGACGACAAGAAAGTAACAGAGTTAGAGCGCGAGTGTCAGTGAGTTCGATGGGACTAGCTGCATGGAAACACTTAAGACCATCGCAGGCATGTGGATATTTACGGCAACAGCCCAGCAGTTGCCAACAGCTGTGCAGTTCATCCACAAGTTCGCGTCAAACTTTGGTGGCCCGTAGATGTGTGGAAGTACTTGTACTTTTTGCCATCATAGGTGGCCAGCAATGGTTGTTTCATGGAACCGTACATGAGTGCTAAGTGAGTCGTGGAACTTTGAGCAGTTAGACTGGCACGAGATGATTATTTGTGAGCATTCAATCAAAAATTGGGTCATAGCTACAAAAAATCCAGAGACATAACGCGTATACATAAGCAAATACCTCGAAGCAAGCCAGAAGCCAGACCTCTAATTTAGTAAAATTGACAGGGGATAGCGATGTGGAATGCAGTAAAAATGGTTCATATTTTCACGGAGATTCTCAGGACTCTATTCTTTACGGACAGTCCCTTGGCATTGATGTAATGATATTTGTTTTGAGGTTACGTCTGGATCTCTCATTGACCAGATGTGATCGGCATGTGCCAGAGACAAATTGACCAAGTCAATATCCAAAAGTCACACACAGAAAAACGAAACAGACCTGTTAAGCCATTTGATGTTGAAACGGAGGGGCGGATTAAACCACATTTGATAGTACGTTTTTCTCTTTAATTGCTTTATTTCCTGGGATTTCGTGATAGCTGTTCGAATTGAGATTTTGTTGATGCTGATAGATAGATGGATATTATAGGTCTCACCCCAGCGCTGCTCGTACAGGATAGAACTCGTTCCTTATACAGGGTGTCTGTCAACTACCGTCTGACTGTGTACTGTCAGGGAATAAAGACGGGAGATGTCGACGAGTGGGACTTTGTCTGGGACGTCTATCAATCAGAAGACTGGCCGGCGGAGCGGGAGCGACTACTGGAGGGGCTGTCGTGCAACACGGCTCCGTGGATCCTCACCAGGTGGCGCTACCTTTCAGAATCCGTACATCCATAGCAGGGGTTAATAATTTTGCTAAAATTGGCAAAAATTGTCATAATTGACAATTTTTTTGTTAGATTTTTGTTAAATTTGACAAATCTGTCATTATTAACCCCTGATAGTAGTTAGCGCATAGCTGCCATGTAGCAATCATATATCTACTTTCTCGTTACACAACGCCCTGTACAACGATAGTAGGTAAATACTCAAATTATACTCGAATTATTCGTTATTCATATAACCAAGAGTTAATAATACCTTTAAAACCTGTATTATTAGCTCTTGATATAATCTTAAAGTAATATCGTAATATAATAATCTATTATTATTCACTCCTGATATAACGTTATGGTCGAGAAGTGATGTGATGTGATAAATTCGTACAATAATTAGCAGGAATTTGTGATCATTATCATGACATCACTTCCTGTTCCAGGGATCTGTCATCCCTGCATAATGAAGTACAAAATTGTAGCTATTTGCTCTATTTAGACGATTAATATTAACTATTAACAGCTCTAATGACCTATCCCTGCTATAGTGGGTTATTCTGATAATTGTGACAGCTCTATGGCCTATGACCTGCTATAGTAGGTGCTTCTGATAATTATGACAGCTCTATGACCTGCTATAGTAGGTGCTTCTGATAATTATGACAGCTCTATGACCTGCTATAGTAGGTGCTTCTGATAATTATGACAGCTCTATTCCTGCTATAGTAGGTTATTCTGAAAATTATGACAGCTCTATTCCTGCTATAGTAGGTGCTTCTGATAATTATGACAGCTCTATTCCTGCTATAGTAGGTTATTCTGAATATTATGACAGCTCTATGGCCTATGACCTGCTATAGTAGGTTTGATGTCGTCGGCAGGTATCTGGAGCGGTCGATGGGTGACGATGAGGTGCCGCAGAGCGAGGCGTACCTAGTACTCCTCCACACAGCAAACAACCATCTCGGTCGCTACCTCGCCTGGGACTTCCTCCGTGCAAACTACGACGCCGCCAGTAAGAGGTAAGAAGACCGACGGGAGCCTTACAGTGGCAGGCGAAACTGTTCATGTCAGGAGTACTACGTGAATGAGAGACACGAATATTAATGCTGTTATCAATGAGGCACACCTCACGCGCATGCGAGTGCGTGGGGCATGTGTGTGTGAGTGCGTGGGGCATGTGTGTGTGAGTGCGTGGGGCATGTGTGTGTGAGTGCGTGGGGCATGTGTGATAACTGTATTTCTCTGTTTGTATTCGACTGTCTACGTATGTGCGTGCGTGCGTGCTCGTGTGGTTTGTTTGTATTTGCGTGCATCTATGTCCATGCATGTCAGCAGCACGTGGGAACGTGGGTGGGTTTCATACGTACGTATGTGGGGGTTTGCGTTCGTTCGTGCGTGCGTTTGGCGATTTCTGAGCCTGACAGACTGACAGACCATCATCATTACACTGTTTTGATGATTTATTATCTGATTTGTTGTAGGTTCGGTGCCAGACTGAGTGATGTCGTAGCTGCCATCACAGGAGCGTTTAACACGCAATTCGAGCTTGGAGAGGTAATGCCGTAACGAACATATCTTATGCATGAAGTTTACATTTGCTGTCACGTAATTAGCGATGAATTTTTATTATTGTTTTCATCGTGAACGTAGAGAGACATATCTTTTATCAAATAGATGAGTGTTTGATTGAATTCGCTGAACAGTTATGTTGCAATGCCCTTTACAGAGGTACCTGTCTGTAACCTGGACTATATCCTTCATGCTTGCCGACCTGTCCCGATAAAGCAGGGACCACTATATATATATATATATATACATAATATATATGTGTATATGTGTGTGTGTGTGTGTGTGTGTGTTTGGTATGTGTATAGGTGCACAGCTTCAGGGCCAGCCTCCCGACCGACGATTCGTCCATGAACCATATGTGGGACACAGCCGAGGAAACAATAGTCGGTAACATCCAGTACATGACCAACAACGAGGAAGAGTTAGTCAACTGGTTAAACAGCAATGCCGAGGCAAGGCATCGGGCGTCAGTGATGTCATCTTAAATAAGTACGTGCCCATTTTTTGGAACGTCATCAACAGTAGGTTTCTAGCTAGCCAAGGAGGTGATTGCTTCCACCTATAAACATATTCGAATCAACTACCTCATCGTGTCACTTTCGTGATGTTACTGTGACAGATTATTATCACGTTTCTGCATATTAACCGTACATCATGGCTTTTCATAATTATGCTGTTCCAGTTGGTAATATTATATAGAGCGAGTGAAACTTGATATACTATTATGATTTATTAACTATTTATAAAATTGACTGTAAATAATGGAGAATTTCTAGATGAATATAACGTATAATGAATATAAATAACTGTAATGTACAAGATGTTATGCAAGTGTGTATGTGTGTGCATGCGTGCATGTGTGTGCGTGCACGTGTACGTGTGTGTGTGCGTGCATGTGCGTGTACGCATTAAACTTGTTTAACCATATGAAACATGTTTTACTGTGCCCCTGTCTTCCTTACACTCTGCTCTTCCCCATAATGTGGTATGGATACGTGATGTTAATTGTATGCTGAGCTTTGACAAGTCACATGCAACATTCAAGTTCCCAGTCCACAAAACTGTATGTTTCTCTTAGAACCACGAAATAATAGCATAATATAAGCAGATAGATATATAAACGTACCACGAAATCAAACGATTATGCACAAACAATTTGGAGAAAAAAAATTTGAATGATTCTCCGCATAACATCTTCATTTAGCATTTTTACAGCAGCACAGTATTGATTGAAACTGAAACACATTTGGTCATCGGTTTAGTGCATATATTTTAGAAAGGAAAAAATATACTATACACAAGTTTCACGAATGTCGACTTTCGACTTCTCAAACGTATAAAATGCGAATTTTTCCTCTACAACTGCGGTAAGAGTATCTGGTCATCAGTTCATATACTTCCTACTTTCCGTATTACGAATACGTTATATAGATGTTCATGGAACGGGAACCCAATGTAATTACAATATCTACATATAACATATAAAAATGTAGTATTTTTCAAGCTGTAGTTTTAGTTTTAGTTTTAGGTACTGAGTATTATGAACTATCAAATATAATACACCTGTATATGAAAACAAGAAAGCAAAAACATTACCTAATATGTTTCCTTTCATGACAAATTGAAAATGTTTTTATCAATTAAACTGCCTGTAAAAAATATCTGGGAGCATAAAATGCTGATGAATATCTGCTATGATTATTTTATACTACTAAAGAAAGCTCCGTATGTTATTACAACACACACAATAGCGACTAAATATATATACCATCTCTATAGTTTGGCACAGTGAATCCATTGGCAGCTAGATTACTCTCTCGTGCAGAGAAAAGATAGTGAGCATATCCATCGTATTGCACAAACATTTGCAGGTGTCTGATCAACGTAGCATCTAATATCTAGGAGGTTTGTACCTGTTCTCATAAAACAGCAGCAGGGGGTTGACAAGATTTCTGGGATCATCCCGGGATGAACGGGATCTGCCTCTGCTCAGGCCGCCCCCTGGTGGACTACCTACACAAACAGCACAGAAACACTTCAAACCTTTTATTCATCACGAACGGTGATGGAACCCAGTCATTCCTACAGTATAACATTATAACAAGTGTAACCACTTGAAAATTGTGCGTTGAGTACTTATTGCAATATCATAATTAATGACTACAGATATAAATAAAATCCATCAAATTCAAGTTAGCACCTCAACTCGGTTACGAATCTACAGAACCCACAAACACTACTTAAAAGCAACGATACTTTAAAGGGATATTCCCTCAAACTTTCAAGCGGCAAACATAAAATCAGGCAAAAATGAATTATTTTAACATTGCTTGTACCTGCCTATATATGTGTGATAGGTGAAAAAAAATTGCTCAGGAATACGTTCATTCAAAGCTTTTATACTACAAAGTGAAACGTTTGGGTCGAATGTTTCAAACGCGTTTACCGCTTCAATGTTTATGTTTCAAGGGCTGCTCCGCACACTTGCCGTGTTATGTATGTATAAATTATGCTATGTAAAATTATACACTGGCATGTTATGACCCAATGGTTTTTCTGGTCACGTACATGGCTAGCTGATACGGAAAGGGCAACGTTTTTGTTGGGTTTTTAGCACGCTCTATCTCGAAAACGGTTACCGTAAAAATTCTGAAATTAATAACATAAACAGTCGAGGTGCCTCTCTGTCTAGACTACAAAGTTTGATTTCATAAAATGATTTATATTAAAAGTTATGATATCTGAGTGGCTACATTGACTCGATTGAAATGATGGTTGCTCAAATATAAACAATATGGCGCTTACGGAACCGCGGCGAAAAGAGTTTTTCGAGTTGTTTCTTGGATTAGCAAATATAGGCTTTGATACATATTTTTACAGTTTTATTTTCAAAGCTAACGTTCAGTTAAAGTGTAGTTAGTTATTTACTGACGTTTTTAAGTGGTTTGTTACACAAATTTACGTGGAATGTTCGAGGGAAGCTACCTTTAATTTCCCATTTACCTTCCTATCCTCTAGAAAATTAACTAGAAAAGTTTCTAATACCGAGAATCACAGTGGAATTTGTACGCGAACATTAAATTCTTACCTTTGTGTATAAAGCTGGGCAGAGAGGTGGGATGCACTCTTCCGTGTGCATTGCTTGGTATGGAGGGACGACACCGCGGTCTGAAGTATTGCTCCTGCAGCGTAGACACTACAGGTCTTCTCCTCGGAACTATACTCTCTGGAAGCTCCTCCACCTGGCATTGACATAATATGACAATCAACTATATATAAATATATGTATGTATATATATATATATATATGTTAGTAGTAATAATAACTATGATCATGATAATATTTATTATTTCAACAACTTATCCATGTAAATAATGTGATAAATTGCTAGGGTAAAGATATTTAGACTCGTGTTGCTATTGCATGGGTGTACGACACCCATCCTACTTCTACATGGGTCAAAGGACTATCTGATGTTTCGCTTACACCCTTGATCTTCACACTGAGAATGGCTCTCTAAATAATGAATAGATTAGATCTTAGATTAGATTCTTGCTTAGTCACATGAACAGACTTATGACAGTGCTGGTCCTATAAACTTCATCCGACTTCAACATCTGAGGTCGATACCAAAGCATGAAGACATACAAAACAATCACATTACAGGAAATATACAGCAATCCAGAGAGATGATATGGAAGCAGCTTGCGTACTTTTGTGTAGACATATTCACCAAACAGCTTGTATGAGTCGAAAGCTGTCACTGCAGCTGGTCGAAGAAGCTGGCCCTTACAGGATGCTGGCCTTCTACCATATGCTTCAAGCTTCTTGTCCGTAAACTGAGACCTACATGTAGTAACACGTACTTAATCGTTACTATGCAGACAGGCAAGATAGGGGAGGAATTATTTGGAATGACATAGACATGTCACCAGGACCCGGTTCCACGGTCGTGGGTTAACTTTAACTCTGAGTTAATGAATTTAACTCAGAGTTAAGAGTTAACCCACGACTGTGGAACCGGGTCCAGGAGTTGCAAAAATTACATAAATGTTCACCTTTTTATCAGAAAAATATATTTTTTGTAGAAAATACTTAAATAAAAATCCGGTAGTCTATTGCCATAGCCTGTAGCAGTATGACCATCACATACAATAATAACGAAGCTCAAATTAGTGGTGCGAGCATAACTCAGAACTATGTTAGATTGAACATAATGCAGCAGGTTATTATGTCGAGTTAACACTAGGTGGCGCCACGTACCTGTACTGCTGCATGTAGTGTGAAGGATCAGGATCATGGTGAAACGTGTAGACGTCGTTTCCTCGATGTGGCAACCCAGCTCTGAGCTTCCCTGGGCTTTTTGTGACACCCTGGCTCGGTTTCCTTCCCACTCTGTTAGTAGTGGAGGCAACTCCCTCGGAGCGTGAAGAATTTGTTCCCAGCTTGGGAGCGCCCTCAGGAAGACTGTGCTGATTGATGTAACCGCATGTGGGCCATGGACCAAGTTCCTGCAAGGAAGCCAGAAACTGCATATTCGAACGTGTAGTTTACTATGACCACAAGCTCATAAAGGTAGCAGGCTCTGGAGCACACTATACTGGAGCGAACATTGATCGGCACATTAACCCTGGATGCAACTTGATAAAATTTATATAGATTAAATTTAATTGGAATTAAATTAATGGAATCTAATTTTATAGAAAGTAGTGCTCCCATCTATTTCCTGCAATAAATAACTGGATCCCATCTAAACAGTTGAGGCGAAGCGTGCCAGGCAATAAATGCGTGGTACTTATGCTCATTATATAATTGGAAATTAACATTATATTGCCCGTGCTCTTATATTTACATATCATAATACTATTATAGAGAACCCTACTAAATTTTAAACAGTGATTTATGCATTTGATCCATCTATATACTTGAGTATAAAAGTAACAGGCTTAAATGTGCAAAAACTTTTAATTAACACTGTTCTCTTCTTTATTTCATATATTTAACTCGATATAAAAACGATTTCGTCAACCACTTACAGATTTGTATGAGTTTCTCTTTTTGTGCCTTAGAGCCCGACTCTCCACATGTAATCTAAATGCCACACAGATAGAACAGCAAGGCTCGTCAGATCCAGGCTTTACAGAATGAACACAGCTACAGGAGGTGCTACCTTTATTTCTACTTTGCTTCATTTGCATCCATAGACAAACTTTGGAATACCTACAATAATTGTGATTACACCATAAATCAAATAGTATCGCCTATCGGCACTACAGAAAAATTCCAAACCAATTAACAACATGAAAATTAGTATTGCACATGCACACAGTGCCGACGAATTCATACATACAATTTACACATACAGATGCTCTTAGTCTTAATTACCTTCTGTGATATTATTTTTTGCATAAATTAAGTTATTATGGTCTGATGGTCGCTAGGGTTCTTTTATTTTTAACTTCATGGAAACACTGATTATATCTGTTCCTCTGAGCAGTGCTTCTGTTTGTACCCCAATCGGCGTTACTAAATTCGACACATGGAATGTTTCCAAATCAATGTCTGTCTTCTTGAAAACAGCGCTTGTAACAGTGTTGTGGTGTAGATGGAACACAGCCTCACTGTTGGTGACAGCAGTTAACATGCGCAAAAAACGTTCCCGTAGAAATGTTCTTGCTGCTTGCTCCTCTTCTGTACGACTGCAATCCATGTTACTGTTGTTAGTGCCAACGTGATATAGCAATAGAAGCCCATACCACAGGATGTGGATCTTGTTTAGTATACCATTTACTGATTCCGGTTTAGACTTTAATTTCGAACGCCTTAACTGACACGATCAAGTAGAAAGTAAAATGTTTAAACTTTTTTTAACTCGACAACAACAACTGGCACTGATAACAACAACCTGTGTTTTGCTTCCTTGGCGCTTGGCGCCATCTATTAACATGGCTTGGGTTTTGCAAGCAAGATGGCGAATGTTGAACAACGGGAGTTTGCCGGTCCTGAGGAAATTCGTGCGGCTAAGCTGCTTGTTGTTGGTGCTGGTGGAATAGGTTGCGAGCTTCTGAAAAATCTTGTTTTAACAGGGTTTCGTTATATTGAAGTGGTGAGCTAGGCCTAGTATATTGTTTTCATTCGATTCACAATAATTGCAACATGCCAACATTGGCAATTGTATCTTGTAAGTTGTAACTTGTAACTTGTACTTGTAAGTTGTAAGCCTATCTTGGGGTCCCTCTCTTGTATTTCACAAGTCAAGGCACTGATTCTCTCTTTGGAATGTGCGGGGAATTCTTATTCTTATTTAATTCTTCTTATTCTTATTACGACGTGGATATTCGTCCGAGCATCGGACACCTGTTCGTATTATGTATGTGCTATTCGTCCGAGCAGTTGTTGCGCATGCGCTGTTCATGTAGCATGCCGCAGGAGCACGGCACGAGTGCCGGGGGTAGGAAGTGTGAAGGGGGGTCTGGGTTGTCTCCCCCAGACAATTTTTAAATCTAGACGCTCTAAAATGCTATTTACCCTTTAGATTTATGATTTTTTGCCCTTTACTTTAGGCTGGGGGCCCCGTAGCGTTGTGCTACGGCAGCCCTACGGCTGTGACGCCCCTGCATACATCATATTACATGCGTTGCGTATGTGAGTACACCATAGATAGTGTTTGGTCCTATCACTCGCGTATATAAGTGAACCGAGTCGGTTTATAGTTGGTGTTAGGGTTAGGGTATGGTTATGTAGTATGCGGCTCCCTAGACTTACATTTATGTAATACAACATGAACAGCGCATGCGCAACAACTGCTCGGACGAATAGCACATACGAACAGGTGTCTGATGCTCGGACGTATATCCACGTCCTTCTTATTAATATTAGGAAGTGTCTAAACAACCGGATCCGGTTTCGGAGTCCTGAAAACTAAACAACCGGCTCTCCTCTCTGATTGGCTAATTTTGTCACTTATTTATTTTATTTTGTATTATTATAATTAGAA